GGTACGTTATCGATCTTTAAACGACTGTAGAAATTAAAGGTTCTGATGAGAATCGAATTAGATTTTACTAATAAGTTCTTGAATACAAAATTATGCATCTAAGGGCTGTGCATAGAAATCAATTTACTCTCGACGTGTGAATCCACAATTTCAAATGCGTTATTCAGGCTGCAACGCTAAGTTGAATTAACCTTTGAGTGGTTAATATTATCGAGCAATTAGTATAGAAAGGTTAGATCCGTGAATAGTCACGGTTAAAATGAATATTCAATTAAAAGATTGAAATTTTCGATATTCAATTATACTAAAATTCGCGGATAAATCTAGGTCGTAAACATTCAATGCAAAGTAATGTGATCAAAGCTTAGAATCAATTTCCGCCCACATGATTATTTAAAATCAGAATCAAGTAACGTAAATTTTATATAGTTAAAATTATATTCAATGAATATCTGTGGATACACCCACAAGCATCCGTTTAAAATTTGGATATCTGCACAATGTTATTCATGGATGACCAAGACTCATGAAGATTCACTGAATAGTTATGAAAAATATTCAAGGGTCCATACTACTTCAGCTTAAGATTTTTATTCTAGTGATAGCGAGTTGAGTAAGTTATTTTAACAGTTAGATGGGTGTTGTCTAAGCCAGATGGTTATCGATGGATAAATTGTAAATTAGGTGATCAACATATAATCCTCGATCAACTGATATGCAAACGTTGTTCATATCGCATTACTGTGAATATATTGAAAATATCATTTCCGTTTGTAAATATCAGCATGAAGTGTTAGGTTCAGTATTTTCCTGGGATGGTAGAATAAGTTTCGTCGATATGATGATTTACGTTAACTTTTAAACCATTTATTATTTTTTTTTTAAAAAAAATAATGATTGTGTGGCTGATGCTAAAATTGACTAATATGGACTTATTTATATGAAATTTCAAAAATTTTGAAGGGTGTTTTTATCTTTTTCTTTTTCTTTCTTTTTTTAGAGCTGGAACAGGATTAGGGTAGAGATGGGATCTAGATAACCGCCAATTTTACCGTTTTTAATTTTATTTTATTTATGAAATTATAGACAAATAAATCGGGTATCTAGACATCCATTAAATTTAAATATGCAGCGGATATCAAAAGATTATATGTGGATTTTTATAGGAATTATATTTTCAAATTGAGACCCAATTTTCAACATCAGCATCAGCTGGGACAATAGTTTAAGATTCAAACTAACAAACAATATTGCTAGTAACGCACTATGTAAATTGAAGTGAAATGATTAAAGGTATAAGTTGGATTTGAATTTAAAAAAATTCGGATTTATATATAGAAATTCTAAATTTAAATTCGAATTTAAGTTTAATTATTGGTATTTTGGATAATTAACTCACTAGTGATAATTTACTATCGTTTTCTTTTTTGGGTTTATTAACTAGTTTTTTTTTTCTTAATCCAGTTTATTGACTGAACTACAAATTATTCAAAGGAAACGAGAAAGCAAAGATCAAAGAAAATTAGATATTAAAAAAAAGGCAAGGAAAAATGAAAACAATAGTTAGAATAATGTCTAAAAATAAAAGGTTTTATCATAAACTTGTATGCATTATAGACAAAGGATATTAAAGCAACTTATCAAGGGCTGTCAAGTTATTGTATTTTTTAGCGGTTAAAGCAGGCAGATATTTTTTTACATTGAGGCTATAAATTTTAAAGTTACTAAGGAAAATTGGATTTCAGAAATATAATCAAAATCAAAATCGATACCACTCAAACTGCTAATTAATAAACTTTTTTAAAGTGAATTAGAATCTTGATCTGGATAATTATTGTGTATACGGAAAATTATCATAAATTTATTATAAGAACGGCAGGCTAATTACATAATAAAAAACAAATAAAAAGAACATACATGAGTTATCGCATTGTGAATTGGCCTTATGATTTGATTGATCCATGTAGCAGGTGATAAATTACATCAAAAAAATTATAATACGTAGTTGAAAGGAAATCGGAGTATAAAACTGTGATCAAAGAAAAAAATATTTTTTTATGGCATAGAAATAACATCACTAATCAGCCAAGGAAATAAATATATTCACGTTAAGTATTATCGTTATTAGTTTTAATATATTTATAAGGATTGGGTCCAGAATTAGATTACCAATTAATTTTTTCAACCTTAAAGTATTATATTCCCGAATTGGAGATTAATTTATAGATTAATTGGTACGCACGTGTTAAGGATCAGTTAAAAAAATTTTTGTCTATCAATATATATAATCGATAAATATTTTTCGAAAAAACGCAATTCCATTTTTATTAATTAATTTTCTGCAACTTTAGCTTTAAAAAAAATGGGCGATCAAACTTCAAATATTACCACATCAATTTCTCCGATTGAATTGCCTCTAAAACGATTTCAAATAATCAAAAAATTACTCAAAGAGTATTTATTCAGCGACGTCACTAAAAATCTTGAAGAGATTTCTAATCTTTTAGATGAAGTTCGAGAGACTAAAATTTGGCAACATGCAGGGTACGAAAGTTTTTACAACTTTTGCCAAGATGTTATTGGCCAAGATATTGAAACCATTACAAACACTTACAAATCTGTTAAAAAGAGTGTTTACGCAGATCAAAACGCGAAATATGAAATCAGAATATTAAAACTTACACGTAAAATGAGAGAATTAGAGTTTAATGAAGAATTAATTGATAAAATTACCCAATATCCAAGGGATGCATTACATTTAATCATTAGATTTTTAAATAGATTCTCGAAACATGAAAAGCTTTCGATATTGGTTGATAATTTAGATTATCAAGTGAATTTGTGGAGAAGTCTTAGATCTAAAAGAAAATCAAGAACAAATACACCTATCAATAAGGACGATGTAAAAGCAGCAATTGATATGGTTGAACGCATGGAAAGTATGGAAGCAGTGGAAACCGAAAGGAAAATGAAACATAAAGAAAAGGCTAGAAAAGAAAGTGATAGTAGTGATGAGACTATAAGAGAGGATGATGATTTTATAACCAATGACTTAGTAGAATTGGAAAGTCCCGGAGAATCAAGCGAGGGAGATGAATGTAGCTGGTGCGATTTGATAGGTGGAAGTGTTTTAAAATGTAGACAATGCGCAATTGGAAAGTGCGTTGAATGTACGATGGAAGAGATCAGCGGGGATCTTAACAATTTGGCTATCGTAGATAAGTATTATTGGGGCATGCTCAAACGACATGCAAAAGAGTTTGCAGAAAAAAACCTTAAAAAGTGATATGCTTTGTGTAAAGAATGATACTGGCTTGCATATTAATAAAAAGCAAACCAATCATAATGACGCATATTCAGCCATATGCATGCTACAAAATTATAGTATTTATAAGAATTTTATATAAAATGTGATGTTGGTTTTTTTCAGTAATCTTTCATGGGGAAATTCAAGAGTTTACAAGCGCACTCATCAATATTCAAGGTTCACAAAAATTTGTCTTACACCCTTCCCCAAGGAAAAAAGTTTGTCTTACACTCTTCCCCAAGGAAAAAAGTTTGTCTTACACCCTTCCCCAAAGAAAAAAATTTGCCTTACACCCTTCCCCAAAGAAAAAGGTTGTATTACACCATTCCCCCAAAAAATTTCCTACAGTAATTGAAAAAAGAAAAAAAATTCTTTAATAAAATTTAGAAAATGTAAGGTCAGAAGTCATGTGACTGTGCATTCGATCGCTAATACAGTAATAATGCTGTACCTTTACCTTATGATCGCGCAATTAAGTGATACATGTGAACTGAGATCTTCATTTTGCAGACCTACGGTAAATCATACGATAAATTATTTAACTTTCACTTTGAAGATGTTCGAGATTGTAAGATTCATGTGACTTCTATGAAGATGCTGATTACGTTATTGAATATCTCAATTAATCTGGCATAAATAAACTGCCATTTTAGATAGGCACTATGTAATCAATATTTAAATGATAACACAGTGCATGATTTTTACCCAATTTAGCAAGCCAATAGAGGGATGATGTAGTTTAATATAGAAATTGTATTTGCGGTCCATTGTTCAAACCAGGGTTTGTTTGCACAGTGCATATAAAAATAATTCTGTTTATATATAAATTTTCATAACTATATTTCTATACTTTTGTTCTAATTTATGAAATTTTTCTGAATTTAGAACATTGGTTCAAACAATAACTTAAGTTTTTATATGACCATTAAGACTGACGAGTTTCGAGCCAGTAACATCCTTAGCGTTGGAATGGATCAATTATAAAGAGGTGTGATGTTCCTAGTGAAATTCGATTATTCTCTAAGGAATCGCAAAAGTATCATGAAAAAGTGCAAAGTCATCGGCCATAAAAATGAGTAGTGTGTTGGCGTCAGAAAAGAGAGCAAAGGTTAATAGTATTGAATTTAGGATTCTATGAGAATCCATGAAACAACACCGTAATTTGCGATTTAGTTAAGATCCCAAAATGAATATTGAATAATGACGGATAGGTATTTTCCCAATTAAAATTTTCAAATAGGATAAAATTCTTAGGTTGGAAACCTCGAAACCTGATTTTGGAACCTGTTAAAATGCTTGTCAATATTTTAATTTAAAATTATTGTAATCATCAGATAATTGCCTAAAAAAAAGCAATTCCAAAGCTTCTTGCTGTATACCAATTTCCTGGCATAATATTCATTGGCATTTTATTTTTTTTTTTGTTGATTGGTAATAATAAAGTTTCCAACTTTTCTTTATCTACGCTTTTACAATTTTCATAAAAGCTATCTTGATAATGTTCTTTTCACTTTCAATGTTTAAACTATTTTTAATCCTGCAAACTAATAGGATTGGAAGTGATCTTAGCATTGAAATTAAACAAACCGCATAGTTACTGTATTTATAACAATTTAATCCATTAATATACGAATTTAATACGCATGCGAACAAATATAAGCTTAGTTTAATGGTCCCGTATCATTTCACCGACAATCACTTCAGCGACAACTAGTGTTGTTAGACGAACCCTATAGGTTTCGTCATTGACGAAAGACGCAACTATGTTTCATCTCTTGTCAAAAATTTTTTAAAAAGACTAAAAGACGAAATGACGAAACCTGCGAAACCAGATGAAAGGTGACGAAACTAACGAACTAATAAATTAATAGAACAAAAAAACTATTTTAATATAAAGTTATTCTTACTTAAATCATCTCTTTACTCTTCAAAAAGGTACAGTATTTGCTTCTTCACTTTCATAATTTTTAATCTATAGTATTATTGATATTCGAATTTAAAGAAATATTTTTTATGCTTTTTATTATAATGTTTCATGAATTGCGATCTTCAAAAGCTTTACAGTCTAGAAAAATTTTACCTCATCAAAGTTCTCAGTTAAATATGCATAATAATGAGAAATATTAGTTTTAAAAGCTTTGATAAATACACAACATCAACTTGACCCCTGAAATTAAATCATCTTGCTAGCAATTTTAGGCAGGTGTAACTGAAGTTGCAGTCAGGCATATATATCTGATATAACTAATAAATTTTTAAAAAAGAAGTTTTTTTATATAACCTATCTTAAGCCACATTTTAACATCACAGAATAATAGTAGCGTTATCTCTAACCATCAAAAAAAAGATTCATTTCCATAAGCCTTGTTAATCATACATTAAAATTATTTACTGTAATAATAATGTTTGTATATATTTTATTTACATACAAAGTACAGTATTACATATTTGTTATATACATAGTACAATCAATAAATAGAAATTTGCAAAGTACAGGGCGATTGGCGATGCGCAAGGTAATCAGAAAGAGATTCTATGGAAGTATACAATAAACTGTCCTGGAACACACATTTTAATGTTTATTAGCGCCACTAAAATCTGTACAACACAGTCATATAAGCTTCGTTTATTGAGTTCCTGGTATAGCCACAATACATAAAATTTAAGGCATCACCGAAGAATAATGGCATAGCTTCAAAATATAACACTGCACTGGGTCTTTTTACCGGGACTTTGTTAAGATTCACTTTCGTATGAAGTTTTGTCTTTCGTCAGGGGTTTCGTCTTTCGCAGAAGTTTCGTCACTTTTGTTTTTCAATAGGTTAGGTTTCGTCTTTCGTCTAACAATGCTATCAGTAAATTATACACTCCGTTTCACCAAGTTTCTATCATAGCCACGATACACATAAACTTAAGGCGTTACAGGAGAATAATGACTTAACTTACAAACTCTAACACAGCACTAGATCATTTACCAGGGCTTTGTTCTTGTAGAGGCACTGCTTTTTCCAGATTTGAGATTCGCCAGGGGTTTCATCTTTCGTCAGGGGTTTCGTCCTTCGTGGAAGTTTAGTCACTTACGTATGACGAAAGATTGGATTTCGTCTTTCTTCATTTTTTAAAAACGGTTTCGTCTAACAACACTACTGACAATTTAGCTTATCGAAATTAATTTACAGACAAGCTTATTTTACCGACGATTAATCCACAGATAAGTTTATTTCACCAAGTTTGTTTTATAAATTGCACTAGCCTTAACTCTAATTCTAAACCTGACTTTAACGACAATGACCAGAATTACTTTATTGGTAAAATGAGCAGCCGGCAAAAATAAACTATCAGTGAGATAAACTTGTCTGTGAATTAATAATCGTAGGTAAAATAAGCTTATTTGTAATTAATTGTCGGTGAGCTGATAATTCATAAAGTTATTCTTTGTTTGTAAATGTGTATTTTTACAAAATTATGTATCGGATTCCTTATTAAAATTTCTACAGGAGATGCCTAAATTTTATCATAATTATAGAGGCAGGGCATCAGCTAAACTCTTAAGAGTAAGGCTCAGAGGTCTCCCCGCTCCCAATAAATTCTTAAGTCCCTAAGGTCTTTTTCTCCGTTCCTCTCTACTCTTGCCAATTATTATGTGAGAATTCCTTGTAGATTCTACGAATAAGAATTTTTAGTGAGTTATTAGGTCATACAAAATTGTTTTTCATAACCCAGCCGAATTCAAAAAATTTTTGGGGTTTTTTAAAAGTCAATGATATGAAAAATAATTGTCACGGCTGATGCTGAATATTGGGGCCTACTTTGATATAAAATTTTATAATTTTTTGGTGTGTATTTTTTAGCTTTTTTGTAATAATTAGACTAGAATTTAGGGTTAGAATTGTTAATAAAAGAGTATGTGTGGGTTTTAGTAGGTGTCATGTATCCAAATTAAGACACCCAAAATTCAGCATCAGCCGTGACAATAATTAATTATGCCTTATACAGTCAATGCTGTCTAATTGCATATATACATGGGTGCCTAAATTCCCATCTTAATAAAAAAGTAATTACGGCATTTAGGCAGCCGAAATTAGCCTTATATAGTGCTGAAATTAATTTTCATATTTGCGAAATTATTGCCGAAATTTTTTGAACTCTTTTCATCAAAATACATCATATAATATAGTTATTTAGAAGGGCTTCATATAAAAATTTAGCAATGCTGCAATGTTTGCCGAAAATACGATTTTTCAAAAATAATTTAGGCACCCATGTATAATTGCATATACCCTCTAAATGCATAAAAAATTTTGGAAATTGATATTTCCACACCCTTTTTTTGATAATTCCACACCCTCTGTTAATGTAGAACATTTTTGAAATTTTTTAAAATTTTTTAAACTTTGATCGAACATATCTCGGCACTCACCTAACATATTCAATAAACTTTTTTATTTTAATAATAAAAGATGACAGCATTCAAATAAAAAAAAGTTCGTCGAATTTGGTTAGGTAAGTGCTGAGATATCTTTGATCAAAGTTTAAAAACAATTCTTGATACAGCTCTTATTTTAATAGACGTTTAAATTTTGCAAGAACTTTAATCGAAGATATCTCAGTATCCACCTAACCAAATTTGGACTTTTTTTATTTTATTAATAATAGAAGATAGTAGAATTCAAACAAGAAAAAGTTCATCAAATTTGGTTAGGTGAATGTTAAGATATCTTCGATCAAAGTTCAACAACAATTCTTGATAAAGCTTTTATTTGATAGACGTTTAAAATTTGGCAAGAACTTTAATCGAACATATCTTAGCACTTATCTAACCAAAATTGATGAACTTCTTTTATATTAGAAATAGCAAAATTAAAACAAAAAAAAAGTTCATTAAATTTTGTTAGGCAGATGTTGAGATATCTTCGATCAAAGTTTAAAAATTTTTTAAAAAATTAAAAATGATCATTAACAATAGGTGTAGAGTTATCTAAAAAGGGTATGGAAATATTAATTCTCAAAATTTTGGTTTTAAATTTAATAACACAAAAATGGACCATATAATCTAAATGCATATACTGTCTAAATAAATGAAAAAAGTTTGCGGCGGGATGGCATGCGATTAGACAATATCGACTGTATTAATCATTTTATTTTAATTGCTGCAATTGCCATAAATTTTTTAAAAAAATAACAGGCGAAGATACAGGAATTTTGACATTACACACAGAATTTTATTTAATACGTACACAAAACACTAAAATATATATACTAATAATTTATATTTTCTCGTTCTGGTAAAGATTACGTATACTTTTATTTCCGAATTAAAGATCCAAATTAGAGTTGGTGAAACTAAATTACAATGTTGCACCAATCAACATTGGTGATACCGGTGAAGCTGGTGATACTGGTAAAGTTGGTAATACTGGTGTACTGGTGATACAACTGATAAAATCGCCTTAAACAAAACATCCAATGTTATCGGTTTTGTTTCCAGAGTTTGATATATAGAGATTCTATATAGCTGTATAGAGTAAGGCGATTTTATCTAGTTATATTATCAGTATCACCAGTATTACCAGTACACCAGTATCACAGTTTTACCAATTCACCAATTTAGCTATCAAACTGTACTATATTTTTTTACACTTTTAATATACATGCTTATAATTAAAATATTACATTTGTTTTCTATAATTATTATATACCAAATCTTCACCTCATTAAATTACTTATAGGCTTTCTAACATGATGCACCACAAGGATATGGTCAGATTTTGTCGACAACTATTTCTTCAAATGCCTTTCTTCAATTTATGCAAGATCCTAACTCCACAAGTACCAGTTATGCATTTTTCTCTTCCACAGCAATCAGAACCTTTAGTACATGAACATCCAGGAATACAAGTGATGGTTATTACAATGGTAGAGGGAATGTGAGTAGTAGTAGTCAGTGTTGTCACGTATACTATGTCCAAGACTTTTTAGGTCATGTCCAATGTATATATTAATTTAAAAAGATATTATATAGTTTTTATAGTGCTGAATATTTTATTTAGAAAGATAAAAATAGGTTAGCTTAATAAAATTTTGAGTAATTTTAAATTATTTATTTGTCCAGAAATGTTCAAAAGTGCCCAAACGCATGTCTACAACTGTCCTGTGACAACACTGATGGTGCTAGTACATGGTTTATATGGTTTATGTAGTTTAGGAGAACTAACGACAATAGATGATGTCAATAGATAGGCAAAAAAAATGATTAAAACAAATTAAGAGTTAGTTTACTCATTGTTATTAAATTGTATGAATTATAAGATCATATTTTAAGCTTGTAAAGTTTTAAAGAATTACATAATTTTTAGATTGAAATTTGTATCACAATATTATATTGGAATCATTGAATCGAAAAAATGTGCTTTTTCCTTATTTAAAATAATAATGCAAATAATATAATTGATGCATTGATAAAAGTTTTGACGGACAACTTATTTATTTACACGAAAGCGCTATTGTGATATATCTTAATACAGAGAGACCTCTCTAAATGCGCCTTTCTAAATGCAGCATCTCTCTAAATGCGCACTCAACTTCCGGCCCAGTATATACTTGGCTCCTATAAATGCACATTTTCTTATTGTTTTCTCAATGCATGTTTTTAGAAGTATGGTCCCTATGGTGTGCATTTAAGAGGTCTTTCGGTATGTTCTTGAAATTAATAATGCATTTTGCATCACACTAATTAATCATGCACTGATGGTTCGAGGTCCGCACTAGTTAAATAAAAAAAAAAACAAAATTTATGAAACAGCTTGTTTATTAACACAAGTGCCGTTAATTAAAGAATTAACTTTATGTTACAATTGTTATCATAAATTATGGGATAACTGAAAAAAGTGTTACTGAACTGATAAGCTTTTCGATTCGGTTATCGGCAATTTTTCAGTTGCCCTTGGATTTATGATAAGCTGTAACCTATAAAACTGTATATGTAACCAGATGCGCTGCACAGATATTACTTTATGGTGATAAATATATAATAACAATATCTTTAAATGTAATTACATAAAGAAATCAGAAAATAGTGATTATCTGCAAATTCACAACATTTGTAAATCGCAATCATTAAATTCTTTTTGTGTTATCGTTATTAATTAACCAGTCAGCTAATTGGTTACATAATACAGTCAAATGCCTCCCTAAATGCAACCTTAAACTCTGGCTCAAATACAGTGAAACCATCCTATGTGCAACCTCTTTGATTTATTCTCTAAAAGTCTGATCCTTACAAGTTGCACTTAGAGAAGTTTGACTGTACATTTTTTCGTGTTATTTTCTCGATGCGTGTTGTTAAAAGTTGGTCCTTATAAGAAGTTTTAGGGAGGTGACTAACAATTTTAGTCGACCGACTAGTTGACTAAAAATTACGTGATCCTAATTTTATATTGTACAGTATTAATAAAGCATTTATGCCGAGTTTTATTAGAACGCATATACGTAATTTAATGCCTAAAAATGCTACGTATTACGTAGAAATTACTGATAATGCATTACGTAAAACTTTTTTTAGCACCATATAATTAGTGGATATTCTGCATAAAAAACAAATAATTATAATTATGCAGTGCAACTTCAGTCAACTTCATGTAGGTGCTAACTTCTAGAACGATATTATTATGTAATGAGTGGCTGAATTGTTAATGGAAGGACTTTCGTCTGATCAGCTGAAGTAAATCGAGGTAAATCAGTTGTTAGGACAGATTATTTGTAAACTTTAAAATCGTACGTACGTACGTACGTACTCTTTGATGATGTAACGTTTCACTAATAAAAAATCAACACAAAGCCATTCCTAGCTTAAACTAATGCGAATGTTAATATTTACTGAGTGGTAAAGTGAGTGGTAGTCGTTACACGAGCTTGCCGGATTTGAAAATCGTGACTCAGAGCCAATTCGGCCAATAAAAATGCAAGATTTTTATAATATCGACGTATATATACTTTTATTGGTTCTTCGCTTTTGCCTTACTACTGTCATTATAATACCCAATTTAAATTCTCTCACTGGTTCAAATGTGTGATCCGAAATACTTTTAAAATTATTAGTTTCTTTTTACTATGTACAGTAGCCATCAAAAGTAACGCCCGATTTATAAGGTAAAAATAAAATTTTTATTTATTTTATTTTTTCATTACAAAATATTAAATTTTTTTTTTTTTA